CTTGATGAGCGAGTTGGAGATGGCATAGGTATTGCATCAACTCCCCTTCCATATGTCCGAATGGCGCACGAGATGAAGCATCTCATGGAGGAGGAGGGATTCATCGACGCAAGAATCCCACGGCTATTTTATGATGCATTGCAGATCGTGATTGCCAACAGTGATGAAGCAAGAGCCAGGGTTTTCGCTGAGCGGGCTTCTGCCGAGAGACTTTGTGTAGGGGGAAGCGACAGCCCGAAAATGCTCAGGTTACAGAGATACGCTCAGATCCCCGCTAGCCATGTGCTTGCTGTACAGTATGGCACATCAAAGACATGGACACAAGAGGCCAACAAGGTACCGCAAGGTCTGAACGATTAAGAGTTCGAAATGTGGCTGTGGGGACTGCTGGCTTGATCACCGAGGGAGCGAAAATATCGAGGGCCAGTGGATTTACGTTCCACCTCCAGCTGCGAGACAAACATGAATGAAGATTTACACGAGGTAAAGCCCAGTTGCATACTACTCTGCCATTCTTATGTATCCAGAACATGAGTTGCATTTACGTCGTGGTGTCCCACGAAGGCTTCGATGATGTTGAATGACGTTCGCCAGCAAGGTACTCGACTTAGTATTCAATCTACATACATAGGAAAAGAGAGGCAAATGCCAAATCATATCTGTCACAGATCCGGAAGGGTAGATCTCACAGCTCATTCAGAATGCGTGGTAGCGGAAACACCACGGGTTGCTGCAGCTGTTGGGGGAAATACAGGCCGTGCATCCGCGTGCCCATCGGCAAGGGCGGGTAGCTTGCTCACGGTCAATAGAGATGGCATTCCTTGTCCTGGGACAGCCTAACAGAAATAGGGTGCGTACCTAGAACATGGCCAGCAGACGCGATCCAGTCAGCACATCAGCACGTCTTCCAAACGTCGAACATAATGTTCATCGCCACGTGTAGCTCTTCCATCTGCTTCTGCATTGATAAGAGCAGCGCCTCGTCTTAAGCAGTCTTGGCTTATTCCTTAGTCGGGGGTGCGGTATGAAGAGCGGTCGCACGCCGGCTAACTCTAGTATGCTCAGTATCTTGCTCGATCGCATCTCCGGTCGACTCTCGGTAGGCCAGGTTCCATCGAGCTTTGGCAGTTAGTATTCGCTGCCTCTACTTTGGCAGGTCGTCGTCTACTACTTCTGTCGACTCTCCCGCGGCGGTGATGGGACATCGGATCTAGCTCCAGGTCAATCGCGTCGGGACGTGTCTGAGTTGCCACAGGGTGCAGTTTACATACAGGCTTTGCGCAGAGTGCTGAGGGTCTCCCCCGTGTACCGCCTTCAGGCGGTCCTGTGAGCACTGGAGTCCTGTTGGCTTGTGGCAGTAGCGGCGCCGCTACCAGATTTAATGTGTGAAAGACCAAGTTCTAAATGAACGTGTTCTCTGCCTGCACTGCATCACAGGTTCGAAAGCAAAATGAAGATATGGACATTGCTGCAAGGCGTCCTGTGCAATTTCAATCCCATCATCTGCAATACATGTCGCTGAGAACCAAGCAGTTATTGCACCTTACCCCGGCCGCGATTGATGGAGATAAGTGGCAGAAGAGCCCACTCTTCCTGGCTTGACTGGCTGAGAACCATCGATAGTCAACCAATCGAAACATTGCTAGGGCCCCTGCCACTCCTCGGTCGATTGTTTATAATCTACCAACATCCCACCCGTGATCAGCTCACATGGTTATTTCTACCACGACAATCGTCACCTCCACGATGGCAGCGTCGCCTTCTTGTTATTTTCTCGACAAGCCCAGGCATCATTGCATCTGTCGCGACGATTAAATTCATTTGCGAAATTCCCAAGACGAGCAGCTCAACGCCGAGTTCACATCGATCCGTCATTCCATCGATAATGTCAAAACAGAGCTGAGAACCGATATCAAGGATCTTAGAGACGATATTGCCATTCAGAATCGCCGCCTCGGGCGCCTGGAAGACCAAACTTAGCGCCTCGACGCAGGGATTCGCCAGTCTCAAGCCTATATGCGAAATAGAGCCCTAAAGAACCCGACCTTCCCCATCCACCCTCTCGTCATATACCGCCCTGGACACGGCATTCTCGAACCGAACTTGGCACAGTTTCCTCGAAACGCAAATGAGTTTTATGCTCTGAGGAACCCCGAGACTAATTGGCATCGGCTTATGCTGACGTATCTGGCCGATTTCTACGACGTTCGTCTTCGAAGTGCGGGCAGCTCGTCTGACGTGGATAGCAGCAGCGACGATGATAAAGATGAAATCATTCTCGGCCACCCTGACCTTGTGGTGGAGAGGTTGGAGGACGTACTTGGCTTGAATGAAGACAAGATCAAAAATTGCAAGGAAAGAGCGGCTCTGTTGGCATTGCGAGCGCCCTCCCAACCCATCAAGCGGTCGCAAATCCGTTTCCCGAAAGCGGGGCCTTTCATGGCTAACGACGACCGAGACTCGAGTCACGCCTCGCCGATGCCTATGACCAAGTCTCGCAATTTCACGATCCTTTTGGCCCCGAAGGTACGAAGAGCGTGTCTTCAGAAGGCCTCACTCATCCCAGGCTTGGAATGGAGAACACGCTCGACTCCATCGTCACAACGAGAACGAATACGTCTATGTCCGGAGGATGTCGTTGTCATACCCAGGCTGTCAGAGCCTGAGGGGAAGTCACGAAAGTCTGCATCTTTGGATAGTGAACCTGACGCCACGGACGCGGATAACCAGACACATGCATTTACCGAGTAACCGGAACGCAGATGTTAGACGCCCGGCTCGCCAGCTTGTCCGATGCCACACTCGACTCAGGTGGACCTAGATTGGATACAATATTGTACTTGTTTCAATCTTTGCATGTTGTGCTAGAACTAAGGCATGTAGGGATGGTACTGGGTTTCAATTGTTCTGGACTCATCAAGACGTTTCGTTGTGGAGTGGATCACGGTTTTCGAACGGATTCAAGAACGGCGGAAGCTGAGGTTGGGCCTTTTTTTGTTTTGGCCAGCCGCACACAATATTGAGGAATTGTTACCAGCATCTTGTCTAATCCAATGACCACTCGTGCATCACACTGAATGGATCACGCTGCTGGCTTTCTTGCGTCCACGCCTCAAGTCTCCGAGAAGACGTGATGGAATGGCTGTTCACTAAGTTTCAACATAAGCAAGTGGCACTACAACGCAGGCAACTTGGCACGACAGCAGTATGACAGCTTGGACGAGATCGAGCGCCCGCCGCAGTCACCAAAGCTTTGGGCCATAAAGTCTCGGGCTCCGTTCCGCCTCTTTGTTTTCTCCGGTGAAGATGGAACGAACGCACTGGCCATGGCACACCGCATGCGAGATGAGCGAGTAAGGTGGCAAAGGCATCTTGCTGCTGCTTTATTTTTTTTTTGGTCCGCTTGACGCTGTGGTCCTTCGTTTGCTCTTCCAATGTTTGCAGCTCACCACGATCTTGGATGTTGGATCTGACACAAGGTTCATCTCGTCGGGACCTGCCCATAATCGCCTCGAGGGTCATAGTCTTTCTGCCACGTAGCGCGCTTCTTAACGCTTCGCCAGCGTTCAACTCAACAGCGTCGAAAACACTTCGCTCGAAGAACACAGCAAGAACCCAACATCTCTCTCCCCTCCACACCTTCGACACAAGCTCACCCCATATCCTCATCACATTCGACACCGACACAAATAAGATGATCCTCTTAGCCATTACGTGGTGTCGTGCACGGGCCAGGACGGGAATCCTGTCTCCTCCTGGTTCGTGCGCACTTTCCGTACCTCGCTGTCCAGTATTAGTTTAAAGGCGTGCGCAGCGCGGTGGCTGGTGCACAGTCGAGACCGCAGATGTCCGGTGCTGTGAGAACCTATCCCGAACTAACAGGCTCTTTCTTCTCGGCGAAGTCGGCTTCGTTCAACAGGCCGAAACTCCCTTCCTGACACATCTTGTCCGCCGGATGAGTATCTCGTAGCACTTCATGGCACTCACGCGGATGAAGAATCGACGTGAGGGACAGCTGGCGGGTCGAAAGACCTCTATCATGTAAGCGCGGGCTCCAAGTACTGGCGGGTGGGTGGGGCCCACAGGAGCAAGTCAGAAGGGTGCTGACGGTATGTGTATCCATTTAGGGGCGGCCCCACTGCTCATGTATACAGAGGTGGCCCGGCCTGGAACCCATGGCACAGCCCGACGGAGAAACAGGGTGCCCGCCCCCACGTTTTGGCTTTGGCTCGCCCCACAACGGGGCCGCCGGCACGTGGCACAGGGACATGTACCTGTCGTTTGGCAGCTTCCATCCACATTCTGTTTTGACGCCGGTGTGCCTTAGAACGAAGCTGGCTGTTGGACTGCACACCTGTAGTTATTGACAGCATGTCGATCCCTTGGGACTGATTACTCTCGCAATCTCTTAGCTTAGGGCCGGCTAGGAGCCCGTCTGTTGTGGACTGATTTACGCTGTCTTGGGCTGTCAAAGGGCCCAGGAGGCCTGGGCTTGCTTAGTAACTTGGGCACACGGCAGGACTCTTCCTCTTTCCACCGATACCTGCCCACGCAAAACGTCGGAATGACTAAGATTCTCCTCACAAAAAATGATTCGCTGGGTTTTCCTATCCATTTGGCGCAATGGTCTCATCTCCTTCGAAACAATATATCGCTCTGAAGATTGCCACAAGAGTCGTGATGGTCGCTTGCCTAGACGAAAGAGGCTATGGTATATCGATAGTGGGACAACATCGCAAGCTTTCCCAGCTAGGACTCTGCGCGCACTACCATCTTGAGTCTTGTAGAAAGCCAGACAAAACTCCCCTCACGATACAGTGCGACAGACAGCTCCAACTCTCATCTAGACTACAGCTACGGTCTCACGTAGCTAGCTCCATTGGTTTTGAAGATGGCCAGCTACGCCCCGCAGCACTACATGCGCTAGACGCGGAAAATGACCCAATAGGAGGGAAGCGGACAGGAACACGACGAGTGCAATCCCCAAGTACAGCTGGGATGGATTCACCTCGCCCCAACCACTCCTCGGGGATACCTGGCCCCCGAAGGCCCGGACGAGTTTCTCCTGTCGCTACCAATACGAACACATCATCGGCCGCATGTCAAACCCGTGGCTTTTCTGCAGAACATCTACTGCGACAGTAAGGCTCCACACAAATCAGCAAGCACGGGAGACAGCCATTTCTGTGCCAGCGTAAACCAAGAAGTGGGAGGGAACTGCCGGGCTGTCAAATTCTGGGACTGTCGAGAATGGCGATAGCTCAGAGGACAACTGTGGAGAAGATAGCGACAGCGATTCGGAAAGTATGGATTTGGATGGTGGTGACAGCTCTGACGTTCCTGAGCAAAAGCGGAAAAGGCCTCAGCGCCCCCGTTGGACATCTTTGGATGAACTACGATTGCGCGCATGGTTTCAGGAAGCAAAGGATTGGTCATGGACTGCGGGCAAGTTGGAGCGAAGCGAACAGCTTTGTTCCATTCTCCTAGCTTGAATCTAACGGCCGAGATTAAATTGAGCCTGTCGCGTGGTCACTTACGCAACGTCTTCACGGCCAACACACCGTTTCCCGAACTAACAAGCTCTGTCTTCTCGGCGAAGACGGCTCCGCTCTAGAGGTCGAAATTCCCTTTCCGACATATCTTGTCCGCCGGATGAAAATCTTGGAGCATTCAGTAGCACACGCGCTGACAAGGCAAGAGTATGAAGAATCGAGAGGTCGAGGTAAAGGACTGCGCGCCAAAACGTGTCAAGGATCTCTGTCATGTATGCGCGGCCTCCTTAGGTTGACGGCTGGTTGGCAGGTAGCCTGCGATCGAAGTTTGCTAATCGCATCCAATAACAGCTAAGTTTACTGCTGGGTAACATGGGCTGACCTGGTGCTAACAGCATATGTAACCATTCAGGAGCGCTTCAGAGACCATGTATTCAAAGGTAGCCCAGGCGATCTCGGAGCTTGTTCATAGGCGACGCCTGGTGTCTGGTCTAGCAGAGCCCGATGAAGAAACAGGGTGCCCCCACATTTTGGCTATGACTCGTCTCGCAAAATGGCCGTCACATCCTATGGGCCGCCAGACTCCATCCAAATTGTGTTTTGGCGGCGGTCCGCCACAGAGCGAAGCTGGCTGTCGGGATATTTTTGTACACCTGTTACTTTCCTTGAGATTGACCACTCCCGCAATCACCCAGCATGTCCCTATTGGGGGTCATGTTTTTGGCTATCGTCCGGGACGTGCCGAGGCCGACGAGGACTGGGCTTGTTAGGTTAGTCGACGCTACTCCTGTCCTCTTCCCACCGCCCTTTCCGACGATACGTACCCCACGCACAAAGTCAGGAAGCCCGAGAAGCTCATGAGATGAGAACAAAAGGATGTATTGTTCCATCACTTTGGCGCAATGGTCTGTGCTTACTCCAATGCCAACCCCTTTCCAAACAAAAAATATGGCTTTAATC